AGAACAACAAAGGATAGAGAGGTGTTTTACCTGTGGGAGATATCTTCCTATTCTTGTCTGCCTCAGCTTCAGCAATCTGATATTGAAAAAAAAAAAAAAAAATTTAAAAGCAGGCAGAAGGAGTAAAATAGACTAAAATGTATGATATCTTACTTTATCAATAGCAGCCAAAGCCTTAATGCCTGATCTTCATTCTTACTATGAATTTGGCTTAATGCATTGTACACATTTAAGCTCTCGGCATTTCTTAGCAGTACCAACACAGCCCCTGACTAGAATCAGATAATGCAAGAGACTGCACAGACTTTCAACTTTAGGGCAAATACCAGTTATGTTTTCCATTTTTAACCCAAGCTCTGAGTGTGCTCCCCTAGCATTTGAACACAAGGGAGTTCCCCACATGTGAGCTGTAGGAGCTGATGACCTGCTTTATATATATATGTGTGTATATATTATTATTTCCTAAAATTCTCAAAAATTATTGAAAATCTCATTTGTACCTAAAATATAGCAGTATTTACTGATGAATCTACTTGTTTGTCATTTGCTAAGGCAGCAGGATATTCATGCATATTTCATCTGAGTGCTCAAAAGGTTATGAGAATACAAACAACAGAAAACAATTAGAATATTTTTAATATTACATACCTGTTCCTCCAAAGGTCTTTCTACGCTTAATTGCCTGTTGTGCAAAGCTTTATCTAGAATAAACAAGTATATTCAGTTACATGATGCACATGAATACAGGGAGGCAGCACAGTTTTTCTTGATTTTCTACTTTTCTCACAAGAAACCTGGTATGTTAAATACGATGCCAACTGCAAGTTCTCGTAAAAATGTCTTGGAGAGCAAGAATAATAAAAGTCAAACATTTAAAGAAAGCATGATTGATTGGAGCAGAGGGAGAGGTTCTGAAAATGAGGTAACAGAAACACAGTAACCCCCTTCTGATGAGAAAACATAAGGAAATTGGGGGAGGAACGCAGTAAGAGATTGACTAAAATAGCAATAATCGGATTGGCACAAGCAAGAGCTTAGAAATCTGATAATCCAGAGCGTCGGGAGGACGGCGAGCTGGGCACCGCCGCGAGCAGAGCGCCTCAACTCCACGCCGCTTCACCTCTTCGCTTCGGTATCACACCGCAACTCCAGCGACACACTGCTTTGCGCCTCCAAAGATATTCCTTAGGATCTAACCGCTTTTAGACAGGCGAGGGGAAAGTTTCTGCTTTCCTCCACCGATACCCCGCAAAACTTTCCTCATCTCGGAGACAACGGGTTCGCAAAGAGGCTTACCTCTGCCCGCGGGCTTCGGGAAGCCGTACGCCCGGCTCGCCAACAGCGACAGCACCTGCAGCGTGACCGCCAGCTTGAGGAGCATCCTGCAGCCGCCCAGCCCCGGGGCCAGCCCGGCTGGGGTCCCGCCCGCACCGCACCGCACCGCCCTGCCCCGGCCGCCGCTCAGCGCCGCGGAGCCGCCGCTCTCCGGGCGCTGTCCAGCGCCGCGGTGCTGAAGCCGCAGAAGCCGCTCCGGCAGAACTCGGCCCCGCTTTCTCCTCGCCCCGCGCCCGCGGAAATGGTGGAGGCCGCCCCGCAGCCCGCCCGGCCGGGGGAGGAGACGGGGGAGGGCTGCGCCGGCGGAGCATGCGCGGCCTGCAACGCGCTTGGGGGGCGGCAGCCGCAGTCACTGGCTGCCCCTGCCCGCTGCCGGCGCGGGGTTGGAGGCTTCCGAGTGGGGCGGCGTGCCGAACACCGGGGTACGCGAGCCAGAGAATGGGGTGGGGTGGGGTGGCCTGCCCACCTTTTGAACAGTTGAAGGCTTCGGAACAGGCCACCGGCAAACCCGATCAGCTGGGCCACAGAGATGGGGAGGTTTTGATGTGTCAAACGGGAAATGCTGAGCTGCAAAGCATGAAAGGGAAACCTGGTCCTGTGCTGAAGGCCAAGGAATCACATACATACCAACCCTTTCCAAGAGCTCAGCGGCAATAAAACGCACAGCCATCAATGAATCTTCACTACAAAGACAACATCAGAAGTTTAAATGTAGCACATAAATTCTGTCAAATTTAAAATTAAAAAAACAGATGGCAATAAGCACATAAGCTAATTTTGAACATTTCCATAAATGAAAATGTATCCCTCTGAGGCACAGAGGAGCAGCAAATCCCCAGAGACCTGGGGAAGACATTTTCCCATTTTACAGAAGAACAAAGGATCACAGCGGTGCTTTTCAGAACCGCAGGATCTGCTTCCAGCATGGAAGATAAACAACGGCAGTCTTCCTTTAAAAAAGATCTTTTCACTTTGTAGTCATAAAGGGGTCAGCTGAAAACATTTTAACTGAGGAATCTCGGAGTACCACAGTATTTAGTGCAGTGACTGCTAAAAAATAGTTAAAACTGGCTATGTGAAGACATGAAGGGGATCAGTGCACATATAACTGGAATCCAAGACCATTCAGTCTCTTATGATATTATTATAGTATAAGGTGAGAAAAACAACGGTTAGGAGAATGACCAGTAGTTGTACAAAAGAAAAAAAAGAAAAACAACAACAACTAGAAAACATTGCAATTTCTTTCTTTTCCTGCTAGCAACCACTATACTTAATACTCCTGTCTTTCCATATTTACATTAAATACTGGCAAGATCTGATGCTCTAGGTTATGTCAGGATTGCTTCATTAAATTGATGAGCAATAGAGGAAAGAAAGTAACTTTCAATCCTCAACTATAATATAGCTTCTATCTATGAAGCTGTTCCAGAGTTAGAAATCATAGGGAATTTTAGATAAAAACATTTCAAGCATGGTTGTATATAAAAATAATTTTAAAAAGCCTAATCTAGACATTGCCTGACAACTTACAGGGAAAATTATTACATTAAACAGATTATTTTTCTTCCTTTTAGGAGCACAGAAAACAAGCAGAATCCAGAAGAAAGTAGTGTCTTCTTACTCTGCCATCTTAATCATGTTTATACACATCAGCAGAAATCCTGAATAACTGAAAAATGAAAACATCATTTCTCACTTTAATGTGGTTTGACTTTCTCTCTCAGCTTTGTATTAATTTAATAGTTCATTGCCTATCAGATGGTCTCAAGAGTTAAAAAAAAAAAAAAAAGTACTTTATTTTCGTTTACTCTTTCTGACATTTATTTCTATCCCACTTCCAACATTTCCCACCACACATTGAAAATACACATCCATTTACAGGACCATAAACCTTTAGTCATTCAGAGAAACGTCACCATGCAATACCAAAGCAGTAAATGTACTTTAAATACACAGCAATCAAGATAGCTGTAAATACATGAAGTCAGAAAAGGAACTCTAGTTGATGATAATACTGCAAAAAACTCGTTGGTTAAAAATATACCTATTTGTGTCATATGTCTACATTTGGCTTTTTGTCTATAGTGATATGTCCAAATGCATCTCAATGCATGTTTTACATTATACACTTCTGTTTATGAGATAAATGTTTCTATTTCTCTAATGTAGAATTTTTTTTAATGTTATCTCCCAATTCTACAATGTCTGTTATTTCCCTAGAGCTAAATCACCTTCTGCTTCACTGAGCCTCTCTAACAAGAACCAGTGCAGAACTCCGCAGCAGCTGAGAGTGACAGTGGGGTAGAGAAAGGAATTCCAAACCTGCCTTCATCAAAGCCAAGCCTAAGACTTGAGACACTCACTAATCATTTCTGCTTCAGCCAGGCAACACAGATGGTACATAGAGGTGCACACAGACATGCAAACACTGAGTGCATCTGCAATGCCATGCTCTGCATTTGCATATTTGACTCCTTGCTAGTGCCTTGATGAGCTTCTATGGCATGGGACAGCAAATGATCGCTGCTAATTACAAGAAAATGCATTTAATCATCATAGAAAAATGACAAGTTAAAAGTGCTGTCTTTAACTCTCGCTACATCTCTGTTTTTATTTGGCATTTACATCACATACTGTTACACACTCCACAGTGCAGAGAAAATCCAGTGAAGCACGTAAGCTCTTCTATTTTTTGGATTCTATTTTGGCTCAAGCGGAACCAGCTCATTTTCTACTCTAGATCTATTTATTTCCAGTAATGATTCATGAGCCAGAAAGAATACTACTTGCCTATCAGATGCCAAGGAGAAATTACAAGGAATGGCAATTAGAATGTTTTTATTGTGGTGAACACAGTTGATACAGAGCCTTGAGAAATAGCTGAAATGCAGCTGCTCAGTGCTATTTTTACTGTTGTTTTATAACCACACTTCAAGGCTTTCCATCTAGCTGATGAAAACAGAAAGGAGATGAAAGAAGAAAAAGCCAACAAGCGCTGCCAGCCCACCTTGCCAACATGGTAATATTTCCATGCTTCAGTGGATGTGCTTTCTCTGCTTTATCTCATATTATAGCAAATGATGTTCCAAGGACTCTATTGCCTAAAAGAAAAAAAAAAATGGAAAAGAGCTGCTGGTGATTTTTCTGCAAGGCATCAGGAAAATCTGTAACTTCTAACAGTAAGTCATGTATTTTGCACGATGTCTGCACTATGAATACAAGGTTTTGGGTGGGAAGGGATATCCTCAGCCACCGCACTGCTTACAGGAGAAAAGCTTTACAAAATGCCAGCATTTCAGCTTCGCCTCGTGGAAATGCCAGCTTCCAGCATCTTCACACGTGCGGAGCTCTGTTTGTTCCCGTCTGGCTTTTTTCTGGCATGAAACCATCGTATGGCTTCTCACTTCAGCGTGACTGTCTGACCAGACGTGTTTTGGGAATAGCGAAACCGTTTTTACTTGCGAGAAAGACAACTCCAGTAGTTTCCCCGCCCGCTTTAGGACGCACTGACACAACAGCACACCGCAGCTCGCACCGCTTCCACGCCACTGATTTCCACTTCCCATCCCGCCTCAGCGGCCGGCGCAGCGCCCCCTGCCGGCCGGCGGCGGTGTCCCACTGCGGGCGCCCCGGAAATGCGCACTGAGGTGGGCGGGGCCGCGCCCTTCGCTTCCGGTTGGGGGCTCGCGGGCCGCGGCGGCGCTGCCATGAGCGACGTTGTGGAGCGCACGCTGGGCGCGCTGCCTGCGCTGCTGGGGCAGCACGAGCCGGGCGCGGGGCCGGGGGGTGCGGGCGGCCCCCACAGGCCGTCGGCTTCCTCTCGGCTCGGGAGCCTTATCCGGAACGTCACGGCGCTCACCTCCAAGCATGTACGGGCCTCTTGCTCCTCCCGGGGTCTGCGGGCTGGGCCTCTGTCTCTCTCTGAGAGCCCGAAGCGCCGCGGGCCGCTGAGGTGAGGCGGGGGGTCGCGCTGTTCGCCTCCCTCCCGCCAGACCGCCCCGGGGGCGCCTCAGGGAGAGGGGCGGGCGGTGCCCCGAGCCCGGGGCTGCGGAACCGCTGGTGACTCGGTGCAGCGAGTGCCCGGCGTCGTGCTGTTGCGTGGGGCACGGTGTGTGGGAGCGGGAAAGTGGGCGATAAGAGCTGAGGCTGAAACGCGTTGTGTGGCGTTACTGCCGTGAATCAGATACGCGCTGTTTTTGAGAATATTGAGTCCTGCTATGTGAATATGCGTCCTTTGACTTTATTTTTTTAAATCGTATATTGTCTCAGAAGATTACACAGAATTAAGGCAAGTTTAATTCTTTTTTTCTAGGAGGAAGAAAAATTAATCCAGCAGGAAATAACCAGTTTGAAAGCAATGGTTTCTGCCCCCACGACCCCGCTTGTAAGTTGTGCCAGTGGTTGCTTTTGTCCCGCTGTTTCCCCAGCCTCCTCTTATTGCCCAGTGGAGTGACAGTTTTTTACTGCATAGCTGCTCAGTTGTTGACATGAGATAGGGCCGCTGTCAGTGGGTTTGCACTGTGGTTGAACATTCAGGGCGCTGTGATTTTGTTCTTTGGCCTCAAGTATAATAATAACTTAAGTTGATGTAGTGACTGGTTAAAAAATGTGTTAGTGAGATTGTCTAACACTTCATATAACTCAGTAACTAATTTGGTGTTATGTGGATGGCAGTCAAAACTACATAATGTCTTTGAGGGAGTTATCCGGAGAATTCTGCTGTTGTGCTCAGAAATCAATGTTGAGTCACATAAATGCATTCATAATGGAAAAATGAGAAATAATCTGGTGTTAAGGAACTTACAGAAATGTTTGTATGTTCCTGTTGATGGCTTGAACATTGTTAGAGCAGCGAAGTATGAAGCAAGACTGAAGATCTTCAATAATTTATTTTTATTCTTTTAGAGACTGATGAAAGAATGTATGGTGAGGCTCATCTATTGTGAAATGCTGGGATATGAGTCTTCCTTTGGATATATCCATGCAATCAAGCTTGCACAGCAAGGAAATCTTTTGGAGAAAAGAGTTGGTATGTGTACATGGCTGTAGCCTTAATATTTTCAAATCATGTTAAGATTTCTTAGAAGAATTTGTAATTCATGTAGAAAAACAACTTATTTAAAGTATTCTTTTGGCTTTGTTGCCTTGTTTCATAGTCTGTCCTCTTTCTGAAAGTAACTAAATCCCTGGTTTGTGAGTTTGGAGAGCAGGAGGCAAGAGAAATAACTTTCAGGCATCAGTTCTTTCAGTATTTTGAGTTGCAGCAGTAATAAGTCATTTACCACAAATATGGTTAAAAACCAACTTCAAACTAAATACGAGTTTTTCTCAGTGTCTGCCTTTTGTTTTTTTTTAAGAATTCTAATAGAAAATAAGAGGGAAGCTGTGAATGGCACTATTTCCACAAACATGGTACTGCCTGCCCAGCATTTCAGTTACAGATAACTTTTTAGTTTTTATAAGGAGCTTGGGGCCTCTTTGCTAATGGCAGTAAGGTGTTTTGTTGTCTGTTTTTATTGTCTGATGATGGTATTTAGTTTAGAAACAGCTGTAGGAAATGAGTCAAGCTGGGAGATCCTTAGAATATAGCTGCACAGGTTTATGGGGAAATCTGAAAGGCTATTTCAGATTTCTTTGAAACTTCCTGGGACTTGTTTCCTTGCCCTGCCCTGTTCTGTAGTTTAGCTATAGAACTTCTTCCATCAGATGTTGTTTGAAGTAGCAGTCAGCCTGTCTTGCTGCAGAATTTTCTTGCAGTCGCTGATTCAGTTGCCTAGTGAAGACATTTCTTGTTTGCAGAGAAAATGGTTTAACTCCAAGCAATGCTATGTCAGCATACGCAGAAGGAAGGCAGTGTTTTGTGAGATATGCTTGTTTGATATCCTTTGTTTGAATTCGGTTGGTTGTTTATTTTATCCTGCAGTTAAATGTGATACATAAGGTTGCTCTTACCTGTTCTTGTTGCCATATGCCAAGGTCTTTATTGAAGAATCGTTGTCAGCTGATCCAGTCAAGATACATTACTCTTTTTCCCTTTATTAGCCTGAATAAATTTCTACAGGGGTGCTGACCTGCTTGTGAAACTACACTTGATCAGATAGATTCAGGTATCTGATAGTCCAGACGGTGCAGTTTGGCCTAAGTTGCTCATTTTGATCTTTAAGTTCTAAATGAATCATGCCCTGAACAAGACCCATCCCTGAGACAAATAGTTGCACTGTATTTCTGAGTAGTGGCATGCTCCTCAAGCCTCTGCTTTTACTCCTGTAGTTTAAAATGAAGAAGGATTTATTTTTCTGAAGAAAAGGTTTCTGGCATGTTTCTTATGTGGAGTTTGAAGTTTTTCTTCTGTATTGTTAAGTAACGGGGGAGTTTTGGCATAGGGAAGGAAAATAATTTTATATTCAACGCTGAGTATTACATTTGAAACTCTTAATTTTTGAAGAAAGAGAAACAAATGTAAGTGCATTTGCAGTGTAGGAACATGATTTTATCAACAGAGAAGACATTCACTTTCCAGGAATTGCTTTCTCCTGAATTTCTTGGCTGCTCGTTATCTCTTAACAGCATCGTATTTCTCACAGGGTGTGGTTTCTTGGCTATTATTTATTGAGCTTTATTGCAACTTAAAAATGTTTCCAAGCAAACATGAGCTGCTGTCATCCAGCAATGGCTTTGTTTTTTTAAATTGTTTGAATTAACTCATCTTGTGTTACAGACAAGATTCAGTTTTCTATCTTGAAGTTCCTTACTTATTGAGTAGTAATGGAGGCTGCTTTCTTTTATAGGTTACTTGGCAGTTTCTTTATTTCTCCATGAAAATCATGAACTGCTACTTCTGCTTGTGAACACAGTTGTGAAGGTACAGTGTTTTTGAAGGTTTGGAGGTAATCTAACCTTGGACCACTTTTTCCTAATTTATTTCATACAATATCTGAGCTGTGTACTCACGAGTTACATCTCAAACTGTTAAAGTTCCTGTTTCTTTGGTTATATAAGAATTTGAAGTGGCTTTCCCCTAGTTTTTTTTTTTTTGTTTAATCTCAGTGCCTCTTTTGTTGAAGCCATATTTTTTAAATTGTAAACAGGTGATACACCATAAAAAAATCCATTTACAAGATATACTGCTTGTATATATTGTAAACTTCAATAGGAACTATATGTGCATATTTCAGTGTAAAAGTTTGCTTTTAGCTGACAGCAGGTATCTGTTAGCTTCTTTGAGTTCTCTTAGAGTTCTTTTGATAGAAACTGGAAATATGCTTTGTGACACTGAGAATCCGTCACAAAGTGATGGTTCATACTTTTCTGTTACAGTGCTGCCCCTCAGTTATCAGTTCTGACTTTTCATGTAAGGATTACTGTGTTGCAGTAAGCTCAACTGTGACTGAAAATGGTGCTCATTCTACTGTTGTGGTAGAAAACTTTTATAATCTTAAAAATATAGTTTGAAACTGGTGTTGTGGCAGGAAGTGAGAAGTGAGAGTCCACAAGGAGCTAAACGAGCACCAGAGCTATCTGTGACAAACAGCCCAAATGAATAATGCTGTGAGCTGGACGTCTGAAATGTGTGTGCTTTGTTTTGAAAAAGGGTTCTGATCTTATTTCATGACTCTGTGTTTGTATGGTGTGGGTGTTTTTTTTGGTGTTAGGTTACAATGAGCTGTACCTTCTGGTTTTAGTTGTATTGGGGACAGACTGAATTGGCATTCTCTTCTGAGGCGTAGGTAATAAGTTGGTGTAAAAATATGTAACTGCCAATATAATTGGGCTTTTAAATTCTTTGAGCTAGATGAAAGGCAATGGACAGAATACTGTTGACTTCAGTATGAAGTGTGACTCATCTCACTGATTGTGGGAGCTTGGTTTAGTTTTGTAATGATCAGACTGTTTCAGCAAGCGAACATTGACTGTAGTTTGTTGAAATCATGTACATTTAAAATCTGAATGTAGCTTCATAAGGTGAGTGTGAGCAGCTCCTGATTTGTGTATGAAAGAAGAGCTTGGTTAGCTCAGTGAGAGCTGACATTTCTCAAACACAAATAGACAACAGGCTGATTACCAGCAGGTTGCTTGCTGTGGTGGGCTAGATCCAGCCTGCTGGCAAAAGGTGGGGGGTGTCTGTGCAGAACTGAAGTCTACATGAAAAATGATGGTCTTATTTCAATGATTACAATAGGACTTACAGAGCACTAATCTAGTAGAGGTGAGCATGGCGTTAACCATTGTCAGCCAGATCTTTCCACGGGAGATGATTCCAGCTGTTCTTCCCTTGATAGAAGACAAACTCCAGCATTCTAAGTACGTATATGTTTACAGAATTGCACGTGGCCTTGTAAGGTTGAATGACTTAATTTTGTAGGAGGTTTTTGTGATCTGATGTTTTTTTCTCTAATTTGGCCTTTTTAGTCATTACTTTCAGAAGTGGTTCCTCTCCATTTTTCTCTTTTATTCTTATCTCATTTGTTTGTACTCTTTGCAGAGTACTGGACAAGTACTGGACAAGTCATTTCTTTTATAACTGCTTTGAGTAGCTCAATGTAATTTAACTTGTCTGCTGGACTCCTTTTAGTAAATATGTCGGTGAAGACGTATTTGTAGAGTCCATGGAGAATCAGATGGGGATTCTTGTAGAACTTCAGTATTGCTTCTTTTCTATGAAACTCTTTATTAAAGCTTTCTTGGTAAAAGAGTATCTGAAGAGTTCCAAAACCTTTATTTGAGTTATTTTTCATTCCCCATACCCAGAAGATGGAACATTCTAAGCGTTGTACTAATTAGAGAGCTGTAAGAAACAGCAGTCACTCAGTAACTCCTAGACTTTGGAGCTGCACGTGTGACCACAGGGGATTTGTAGTTGTAAATTTCACAGCTTGTCGAGTGGCTGCTTTGGAGAATTGTCAATCTGACAGTAGACACCACTCAATTCTGAAGTTAGCTGTGTCGCTTCTTCGCTGAGGTGGTATTCACAGAGTCATTCGGTCACAAAACTATAAAACATGGATTCCCCTCTCTCCCTATGTCACGCTGTTCTGATGGCTGATCCTGTAATTTTACTTTGCTGTAGAAATGAGAACAAGTTTTCTGTTTTTCTGAGTCAGGTTCCTGAAATACACAACGTCTTGGTTTGTAAAACTCTCTTTTCTTCAGGGAAATTATCCGAAGAAAAGCTGTTCAGGCTTTATACAAATTCTATCTCATTGCTCCTAACCAAGTACAGCATATTCATGATAAGTTCCGGAAAGCCTTATGTGACAGAGATGTTGGAGTCATGGCTGCTTCACTGCATATTTATCTCGAAATGATTAAGGTAGGCAAGAGTCGTCTCTCAGAGCTACTTGTATCTTTTATTTTAAGCATTAGTGTACTGTAGCTGTGTAGCAAAGTATTACTCCTAATGGTTAGAAGAGTTAACTTAGTGATGATGGATGTGTTATATTTGCACTAGCTCTCCATTTAGCTTGACAGACGCTTCTTGCATATCCAGGTATTTCAGTATCACTGGCATCCTTAGCTGGCAGCAAAGTTTATCTTCTACAGAACATTAAAGAATTCAGTATGATTTTTTCCTGTTACTTTGAAGTTACATCCACTCTTTGTTGCAAATGTACAAGAAACCAGCGTAGGTTTAAGGAAGAGATGCTGTGGGAAGAGTGTAGAAGTTGGATTTAGAGAAATGAAGTGGTGGCTACTTTAACTGCATTCAGTCTGTAGATCATGCTTTTGAGGTGCTGTATTTAAAGTATTTCTGTTGTGTTTCTTTGTACGCAGGAAAGCTCGTCTGGGTATAAAGACTTGACAGAGAGCTTTGTAATCATCCTAAAGCAGGTAGTGGGAGGGAAGCTCCCTATTGACTTCAATTATCACAGCGTGCCAGCACCATGGTTACAAATTCAGCTTTTAAGAATACTGGGGCTGTTAGGAAAAGATGATCCAAGGTAATCAGCTCTTTGTCTGTAATTAGTATTCTGAAAGTGCAAAGGATGCGGCTGTGACTGTTATCTCATGAGCAGCTTTTCTGCCTTTTTCATAAGAGGATTTTAGAGTTGGACTTCTTATACATTTTTATTATCAACCAATGCACTGAGCAGGTACCTTCTAAATTGAAAAATTAGGTTCTCAGCTTCTGAATGGTCTAGGCAATTAATGGAATTATGGAATATGCCTGAAATATGTTTTTGCTGGAGTTTCTGTTACTGGGTTACCAAACGACATGGTGAAAAGCCACATAAAGGAGTACCTAGTTGGTGTTTTTTCCTGCTTAGATGCTTTTATTCTTATGGCAGTTGTTTCTTCTGAAAGCCATAAACATTTAGATGTCAGTTAGAGATGGACTGTTGAACTCTAGCACGTTAAATTGAATCTGTGGGTATGAATAATTTGTGTTAGGTTTTTTTGATATTGTTATGTAGATTGCTTGGAAATTTAGACTACATGCTGTAAATAAGAATTGTACATATTTGTTGTTAAACAGGACAAGTGAGCTGATGTATGATGTTTTGGAGGAGTCTCTAAGAAGAGCAGAGATAAATCATAATATTACCTATGGTAGGTGAGAGTCTTTATCAGTATTTGGGAAGGCTGAGTGGGTGAGCATTTTATGCATGCTAAAATATATATGCAGCACTTCTGAAAATCTAGCTGTGTTCTTAGGTGTCTGACTAGTAAATGGTGAAACAAGTGATATATTTCTGTACAGCAGTGTTTCCCCAAGCAGCCACGTCTGATTTCCTGGTGCCCTAAGAGCTGTTTCACAGTATGTTAAGGACATAGCCATCCTGTTATTTTATCTTTTAAAGACACATGGATGTTGCCAAATAACCTGTGCTAATGGAACAGAGGGGGAATTTAGGTTTGTTTTCAATGTTTTTTTTCCTTTGAAAAGGAACATGGTCCGGAGCTCTAGATCTGGTGTAGTGCCTGCTTCTGCTTTCTAAAACATCCTGTAAGTTCCTCTCCCACTGAAAAGGGAAGTTAAAGAGAGGCACTAACTTTCAGCAGTACATGAGGAAGTCTCTGCCAGATGTTTATTCAGTTTCATTGCTTCTGTTAGACAGGAACAGCAACAAAAAATGAAGTCAACTTGCAACAGAGCTGGTCCCCATGTACTTTTCTATTTTATCTTGTTCTCAGTTCATTCGTTTTTATGTTGAGCTGTGACAAATTGTCTCCTTCCCTGCTGTAGTGCACTTCTGTGGCAGTATTTATCTGTTCTGTGTTTTAAACCACCCGAACCAGAATAATCATAGTTTGTTCTTTCACGTTTTTCCCACGATAATGGATGGTAACAAAAGGAGCAGTTCTGCTAGGCTGTGTAATTAAAGCTTTATCACAGTGGTAGCTGCATATTTCCAAGTTTCAATTGAATTGAATACCTTGAGGATATCATTTGTTTGCAAAAAGGAAATGTTTTTATATACAAAATATCTGCTTGAAAGGTGAAATACAGATACTCAGCTCTTCAGAAGTAGATGCTTCACTAGCAGGGTATAAGACTGCTTTAAAATATTAACTGAACAGTGTTCAATCTCAGTTTTATCATGCTAGCACGTATACTTGTGTGCTTGTTTAATTTTGCATAATATAATTATTTAATACCCACTTATTATGTTTCTTTTCTCCTAGCCATCTTGTTTGAGTGTGTCCAAACAATTTATACAATTTACCCCAAATCTGAGTTACTTGAAAAGGCTGCCAAGTGCATTGGAAAATTTGTTTTGTCACCCCAAATTAATTTGAAATACTTAGGTAAGGATACTGGACTTCATTAAAGACTTTTTAATTTTGTTGTATTGGTGCATACTCTTAGGTAATTTCCAATTGCTTGTATTCTAGGTTTAAAGGCTCTGACCTGTGTTATTCAGCAGGATCCTAATCTGGCACTTGAGCACCAGATGACAATTATTGAGTGTCTGGACCATCCTGATCCCATTATTAAGAGGGAGGTCAGTGGATTTTTAAGCAGTGCAAATTAAGTTATTTTTAGCATGGGTAGTAAGTTTTCTAAAATGGAGAGTGTGAAAGGCATACAGTATCTCAGGTATTGAGAGAACACAGTTATGAACAGTAGTGACAGACTTTGTAGATAAGCAGAATGTTTCAATTAAGCCTCATTAAGTCAAGACAGTTGCTCTCACTCTGGTATCACCCTCAAGTGTTTCTATTTGCCTGATTGCTGTTTTGAGTCAGTAGAGCTGATTACATGTATCTTGCTTTCTCTTTCAGACTTTAGAAATTCTTTATAGAATTACAAATGGACATAATGTGATTGTCATTGTTCAGAAGATGCTTGACTACTTAAAAGAGACCAAAGAGGAGTATGCTATCATCACCTTAGCTGGCAAAATAGCAGAACTAGCTGAGAAATATCCTTTTATTGTTTGGATGCCTTTTGATACCTTTCAAGGCACCTTTCATAATCTTTTGAAATACGAAGTGTTACAGTTGTGCTTTTTGCTCTTTGAAATGCGAACAAGGAAGTGTGTGTATTCTTTCTTCTGTACTGTTAAAAGTGTCCATTCAGTAAAGTGCATTGTGATTTATTTGAGGAAAGGCAGAAACGAATGTTTTTCAATCCCCAGAGTTAGCAAAGGCTGTTCACATTTTATATATATGAAAACAACATTGCTTTCTCTTGAGTACTTAACAACAGTTGGTATTCTTTAGTAAAACAGCTGCAGAACTGCTGAAAAGAGCAAATCTATCGTTCATTAAGTGAGGCTGGATGAACAGATTAAAAAGAATACACCAGATAGTTAGCATGGAGCAAGTGTGAACTCCAAGTATTGTAAGCAGATTTCCAGATCAAAGTCTTGTGAATGGGTCTCTTTCTGTTGTGTGAAGCCTCATCAAAGCATTTTTTCACACTACCATTTGTTCATTCATTCACAGTTTAAAATATAGTGATTAGCAAACTAAAAAGAAGTGAAGTTAGGCCTTAGCACTTCATTCCTTAACGTGTGGACAGGTATGCTCCTAACAACGAGTGGTTCATCCAAACCATGAATGCAGTGTTTTCAGTTGGAGGCGACGTTTTGTATCCTGACATCCCTAACAACTTTCTGAGGCTTTTGGCTGAAGGTAACTCACCACGTGATGTGAATAATTAAACGTTATTTAATCATCTGGCTTTCTGAAAATGTTCTTTGATGCAGCAAGTGGCATTTGTGTTACAAGTGAAGTATGTTTTTTTCCTTTCCAGGATTTGATGATGGAAAAGAAGATAAACAGCTGCGAACGTATGCAGTGCGGTCCTATTTAGCGTTACTTGAAGAGGAAAATGTGTTCTATCCACAGAAGTTCCTTCAAGTCATGAGTTGGGTAAGGTGGATGCATGGTCAAAATTGAATACGCAGTTGTGAGTTTAGCAGCAGCATCGACCTGCCTGCATGCTGAAAGCTTTTCCATCTTTATCAGTTAGGCCGGTTGTGGTTATTAAATGCAGTGTTAGCCTTGCTGGTAACTGCCCCTGTGCTGGTGGTGCTGCTTTCTTAGCACCTAGTTGAGCTGCGATTACCATCTGAAGAAGAGGCTGTGGTTTGAGCAAATTGTGCTTTTGTAAGGCCTTAATTACTATGTGTAGCTTTTTTTTCAGACAGCTCTTTGTTTTTTTTAAAGTTAAGTTGGAATTTACAAAGGCAAACAAGAAGATCATTTCAAGCATTTGCCAGGAAAAAATAATAAGTCTTGTTGAAGCACATTGGAAGTAGTTTAATTGTGTAGTTTTGGTAGAGCAGTCTTCCATCAGTAATGCTGGGAATGCCTTCTTGATATGCAGTTGGATGTTCAGATTATTTTTCTGACATTCACGACTGCTTGTAGTACCTTCATACAGCATCGGTTAAACCAGCCGCATTTTGGAGCAGTTGGAGCCAGCTCAGTGGTGCTGACTGCTGTAGCAGTTATTAGTTGATTGGTCAGCTTTAAACTGAAAAAAATTAAAAAAGCTGGAGCTCAAATCCAGTAGAGAGATGTTACTTCATACAGGATCTCTTCATTTTATTTGCGTAGAAGGTCTTTTCAAGAGAACCTATCTTAGTTTCAGCTGGAAGGAATTCTTCTCTTCAGTGTTCTGGTATGATGCTAGGAGGCAAACAATGTTGATAACTGATGTTTGTAACTGCTGCTAAGCAGTGCTGTACAGAGTCAAAGCCATTCTTAGCAAATGGCTCAGGGAGCTGAGAGGGATCAGAATTGGGACAGCTGAATTAAAGTGGGCAAAGTGGTATTCCATACAGCATGACATCATGCAGAAGGAATTCTGAAGGGGCTGGGAGTCCATCTCTTGTTCTCTTCCACTGCTGGATGGGCCAGCTGGGCACTTACTGAAGGGTGGTGAGCAATTACAACACGTGATTTTTTTTGTGTGTGTACATGTATTTGCCATAATAATTATCCTTTCCTCTATCTTAGTAAATAACTTCATCTCAACCCACAAGTTCTGCTTTGCTTTCCAATTCTCTTCCCACTGGGAAGAAAGGGAGTGAGCAAACGACTGTGTGGTGCTCAGCTGCCTTCCCGGTTAAACCACAACAGTTATTAACATCAGTGGTGGTCTGCAGAATGCATTTAATTTTGTTACTATTTGATACTACGCACTAATTTGGAAACTGAAAGCACTGCTATGTGTGACTGTGTGTATTTTCTCTGTTGCTTGTGCATAGGTTTTGGGGGAATATTCCAGCCTCGCTACAGATGTTGATCCAGAAATTATTTTGACAAGGCTGCACAACTTACTGAGGAAGACTTTTGTTACCTCTGAAACTAAAGCGTGGATTATGGCTGCAGTCACCAAGATAGCATCGTGTGCCTCTTTCTCTAAAACAGTTGACAAGTTAATCCAGGAATTCAGTAGCTCTCTAGATACCTGCATGAGACAACATACCTTTGAATTGAAGCATCTGTGTGAAGACAAAGTATTGATGAGGGGCTTGCTTCCCTTTGATGCTAGTTGTAATGACATGGTGGTAAGAAGTGTGCAGTGTGTGTTCTTGAGCCTTCCTGTAGTTCTGAGAAGTTAAATATTTTGCTAAAAGACATTTTCAGAATGAATTCTATTTGATAGTTCTGACTGGTGCCAGTCTTTAGTCTGCTTGAAGTGAGTTTTGAGGAGCACTTTTCCAGATTTGGCACATCCCCATGTTTCTGATAAAGTGCCATGGTACCGAGTAAGCTGGAGTGGCTTTAACAAAACTATGGATGGTATTCTTCAGGTTTCTTTCCTTTGGTGTTTTCATATAATTGTAGAATCCACTGCTTTAGGGAACATCCACTCTGCTTTTTTGTGTTTATATAAAAAAGTTAATATTGGAGGAGTCGATTTAAGTTACAGATCTGTAGCTCAAAGTTTGTTTCAGTATACTTGAATAACAATTTCTGTATATAAAACCATTTTAATGGATGTGAGGAATACAGCAGCTTCACCAATAGAATATGGTGTGTGAGACAAAAGATCCTAATCTTGCTGATAAGAGAAGATATTCTGATAATATCAGGCTTTTGAATAGAAATTGTATTTGTTACTTTCTCATTTTCCTTAATTCTTTGTAGGTAGATGCTTCCTTATCTTTTCTGGATGAGTTTGTGGCTGAGGGACTTGGCCGGGGTGCAGCACCATATAAGCCCCATCACCAGAGACAAGAGGAAAAACTTTCTCAGGAAAAAGGTGACTACAGAACATCCATTTCACAGTCCAGTGAAATTTATTAATTTGAAGGTTTTTTTTTTTTTTTTTTAGGTAACTGATTGTTATGTGGTTTGTGTCTGAATATGACACAGGGTCTTTGAGAAACAGCATCCATATTAAAAAAAAAATAAAGCAAGAAGGAACAGACATTTTATTAGCTTTGTCTCCTCCTGCATCAGGAGGCCTCTTTCTTCTCAGATCTCCAGCACTTCTGTCCTCCTTCTTAGGAAGAAGAAAGCATAAGACTGAGTGGAAGTGAGAGAAAGGAGCCATACCCTGTATAGCTTCACGGCTGTAGTGGAGTGTCTGTGCTCTGCTCCTTGCCTAACAATGACTGCTTTTTGTTAAAGTACTGTCTAGAACAATTTTTAGTAGTTACTCAAACTACATCTTGTTTCAGAAACCATAGATAAGGTGGGTGGCCTGAATCCTGATTTGCCTGTCTTGTTGAAAATAAATTTATAGCCCAAAGTGTCAAGAATGTTCGTAAAGCAGATGGTGGTATATGGACATGTTGCTGTGAACTCAGAATGTGTTATGTAGGTGCATGAGCAAACAGAGCAGCATAGATCTGATAAAATATTTTGCTCTGCAGATATTAAGAATTGGCAGATATTTTAGTGATGCTCTATAAAATCATTTATGCTGTTTATCTTTCATGTCTTAATGAAAATTAAGTGGACAGATTTGCTTTTAATTCAGGATAGGATCCTGAATAGCATAGCATCAGAAGTGTTGTAATACAACATATTGATTTTTCAGAAAGAGTTCCTTCCTACTTGTTTGAGCCTTTACTTTAACTCTAAAAGGTTGTCTGTATTGCAGCTCTGAATTTTGAGCCTTATGGATTGTCCTTTGCTTCAAGCGTGTCCTCGGCTGGTATGGCTGGCAGACAGTCTCCCACTGGCTTATCGTTTGGTTCTGATACGTCTGGTAACAGTGCTGAGATGGGGCATAAAGAGTGAGTTAATTTGTTTCTAAAATGGAGTATGTTCTTCATGAGCTTCCACAGATTGGGCAGCGTTCTCTTGTACTCCATTATTCACTATGTAAATTAAAGTGCCAAAGTGGCAAATGGTGTTTAAAGCAGAGTGTTGGCATGCTTTTGTGAGCATGATGTTCACGTAGTTTATCCTGTTTGGTTTTTTTTCCCCTCTTTTAGGACAAATACTCTGAAACTGGAAGGAGTAAGGAAGCTCTGGGGCAAAGAAGGCTATCTTCCAAAAAAAGAAAGCAAAGTAGGGAAAGAAGATGAGCCACAGACTGTGTCGTGTAGCAGCTTATTAGCAGGACAGGTGGCTGAATGTCCCGTGTCACAGTCTGATCAAGTTTCCAGCCTCTCTGAGGAAGAAAAAGAAAAGCAGCAGCTGGCATCAACACTGTTTGTTGGGCTGGGATCAAACACTGGTGTCAGCCTGGTAAGTGGTTCTGCTGTGACTTGCCAGTTAAGAGTTTGTATATAACCTTATTTACAATTAGAAATACTTACATGGAAATGGAGATCAAATGAACATTTTTTGGTAGAACTAGACAGATGACACCAAGACACTGGAAAACTATTGGAAGTTACCATTGTAGTCTGATCATTTGTTAAGCAAGAAACAGATTGGATATTGATCAAGCAATTTCAAGAGTAGATTCCATTCAGTAGAACTTCCTTCTTCCTACCTACTGTGCTTCAGGTTTTGTTACCAGTTTGTTACACTTCCCTAAGAGCTGTTCTTTGATTAATTTTGTTGGTCATTACTTGTCCTTGTTCCTTCTGTTTTGGTGTTAACATTTACAGAGCTTATTGGTAGAAGCTCCTTCCATGTTCAATTTTCCTTCTTTCTTTTCAGATGGGGAAAGTGGATTTATCTACTCAGAAGTTCAAAAGAAAATCAAAGATAGATGTAACCCAAAGTAATGAGGAGGCATTGGATATGCAAAATAGGCCTGCCTCAGATTTTGGTCCCTTACTTGATACTGTCCCTGTTACTAAAGAAGAGTGTGATGGAGATAAGCGCACAACATTAAGGAAACCTTCCCTTTGTTCTTCAGATACTGTGGAAGAAACACTTCAGTCTGTAAAAAAGCATGGGCTGGATGACAAGCTTTCAGATAGTAGACTGTCCCCACTGTCTTTGTTTGCTGATAGTAATATTGAAATTCTTCAGCCTTCTCAGAGTTCTCAGTGTGAAAATGCCAATAAAACTGTGCTGCTCCCTTCCTTAGCAGAAGAACTGGAAGAGCTCCCTCACTCTGAAGTAGCAGAACTTTGTCAGAATGATGCCTTAGCCCTGTATTTATGTAAGGTGTGGAAAGCTGACTCTTTGCTGCTCGTTGTGTTTGTTTCAAATAAAAACACGTCTGCACTTAAGGCTGTAAATGTAGTGTTTGAAAAAGAAGAACATTTTCAGGTAAGAAACTTTCCATCATGTTTCAGATTTACTTGCAAGTTTTTGTTTCATGTGCGTTTAAGTTTGTGGTATTTAGTTCAATATAGTAGACATTCTTTTTTCTCTAAGCATTTCCTTCAAGCCTGTAATATGGCTACTAGGCTTCTAAAAGGTAATGACAAATCTCTGTACTGAAGTTAAAATGTGAGTTGATATGTACATGTTGCATCTCATTTCTCTTATTATCTTGATTTGATTTCCTGCTGCGTGCCTCTGTAAGAAATACATATGAATTTTTCACTTCTGAATTCACTTTCTTCCTTTAGTTTGAAAGTGAATGCAAGTCTAATCAGTGACACTAAGATTCTGTTTCTTTTGAAAAATGATGCAGATTCTGGAGAGCCCTGCCTGCCAGTTTTCTGTGATTGAAGCTCAGAGCATGGGATGTTGTCAGAGGTGTGTGTGCATGGACAAAGTCTGTACACAGGGAGTTATTTCTGGCTTTGTTAATTACCAGTCAGAAATGGAAACTCGCCTTGAATTTTCAGTACCTTTATCATTGCTGGATTTCATCAGGTAAGCAAAATTGCAGTTTTAAAGATGTGTATATTCAATTGAATACTGGACAGTGAAGGATTGTCTTAAGTATTGGTTATGAAAGCACAAGGCTTCATCTTAAGTTGACTGGTTTTAATGTAATTGGACTTCTAATAATAGTAATTTGTTAATTTCATGCTTAAAAAAAAACAACAACAAAAAAAAAACTAGGGAGATCTTTTGCATAAATAGAATCTGTATTTTAATTTAGAAACCCAAAGCAAGATACAGAAGCTTTAATGATAGGTTGTGAAGAGCAGGGGTTTACTTAAACTACTCTGCACTTGTTTGATGTTTGCTCTATTCAGAAAGTTTTGTATATAGAATCTTTTTTAGGACACCAGATTTATTCTTACTGTGATCTGTGGTGAACTTTAGGCCAATGGAAATGACTACAGAAGACTTTGGGAAGCTGTGGTTGTCTCTTTCCAATGATGTGAAACAGAATATTAAAATTCCATCCTCTCAGAATTCCTTCTCAGCAGCTCTGAGTGTACTGCATCAAAAGCTGAAACTCCACATTGTTGATATTATAGGTGAGTGAAGGTATGCTGTAAGATTGTTTACTGACTTATTTTTCTAGAGAAATAAATACATGGAAACAGGTACCTTACACTTCAAAACTGAACATCTGGGAGCATGGTAAACACAGGGACATATAAGGATTTTATTGGCCTTACTCAGCTCTGTGCAAAGGTTGCTGTATAATTGTGAAACAAACAGTACATTTTAAAGGGGGCAAACTTGTAAGCATACTGAAGAGTCTGGAAAAGATATAAATGTTTGTGGAAAAAAATCAGAGGTTTGTGAATGATGCTATAGCTGTATCTAATTGTTACTTCACTTTTTATTCTGTGGCTTCTGTTATTTTAAGGTAATGAGGGAATACTGGCATGCCAGCTGCTTCCATCTGTGCCATGTCTGCTGCACTGTCGTACTCACTCAGGGATGCTGGCTTTGTGGTTCAGATCACCTTGTTCTGCTCTTCCAGATGGTTTGCTCTATCAGTGTCAAAAGGTGATGGAAGAATCCTGATAACAATAGTACCTGCCTTAATCTATTTGGGGTGCAAAAAGGAAGTGAAGGATTTATAGAGTTACGCTGGTAATTACCAAAGTGAATTTAAGGTATGCTTCTCAGAAGTCACAACTTTCTTCAACCGGCACTAATCTTGGACTTGAGAGGGAAGGATGATGACCTAAAATATGCCTGCAAAAACGTGCTCAGGACTGTACAGTGACTACCAAATAATCCGTAAAGTACTGTTATCTGTTCAAGTGAAATGTAAATTTCTTTTGTTGTTAAATGACTGAAAGTACTTACTTTCATTATGCAGCTTTTGTAGGTGTCAACAGTCATTCTTCATAGCAATTACCTAAATATGGTTTTAAAGCAAACAGATCTCTTTTATGCACTCAGACTTGAACACTTGCCAGGTTCATTTGATTATCTTAAATTTTTCTAAAATTGTTTTATAAACACTGCTGGTGGCAACGAGTCCCACATTGGTGGTTACAGAGTAACCTATGTAGCAACAAAAGCTATTAAATGTTTTAAAAATGAGAGTTTTAATGAGTAATGCACCTGCCATGATCTTGGCTTAGCACTGAAGTATGTAAGCAGAAACATCTTAGTAGGATCTTGGTAGGAGACAGGCATGTGAAATTGTGTTGAAAGCATCTCATGGGATGGGATCTAAGACTCTTCAGTGACTTCCTGTCTGCAGTTCTTTGTCCATGTTTCAGTCCCATTCCCTTTCCTTAGGGGTCAGCAGCACCCCAGTGTTTGAGCCACATCTGAGATGTTTCGTGTGGATCAAGTCTGAGATCATGGAGGTGCCTTTCAGACACCTTATATTTAATATGGCTAGATTCTCTGCCCAAGAAAATTCATGTGATGAAGACTTCCTTTACATTTTCTAATTATGAATAGCTTCAGTATGACAGATGTGGCTGTACTGTGTGTGCGTGCCTGGGAGCTGCAGTAAGGCATACGAGCTCTGAGTTGGTCCAATGTTTACAGTGTTGTTTTCTTCCAGTAATAACTTAGCAGCCTTGAAAACCCACCATTCTCAATTTATTTAGACAATATATGAAATCTTTAATACTATAAAAATTATATATATCTTCCTGTGGTTTTATTTAAGAACACGAAAATTGTCCGGATGGCTCAGAAGTTATGTAAATGATGTCTGTGGTAGGATTCTCTCTTTCATGAATGTTAATATGAAATTGAATATTAACAAGGAAGTTTTAACTTTTAGTTCTGTTGGTTCTTACCCAATAAGCACTGGTTGGAAAGGAAAATAAAGCACTGTTTGCTGTGTTTTGGTAAATGTTTGTGAAATCACCGTAACAATGTTAACGTGCTGATGGTTCCTTTTTTTAAATCATGCTGTTTGTATTGTCAGAGTGAAGCTCCTTCCCTTTTCTATTGCTGTTTCAGTACCTTGTTGAGAAATCTAAGTGCACTGAACCTGTAAATATATTTAATGTTCTGTGTACTTTAATGTTTACTTGTCACTTCAAGAAAGTTTATATAGATGGAAATGGATTGATAGTGGGTTAATCTCCAGCAAATGATTTTTCTGCTGGTAAATCTGACTTCTGTTATGCAGTTGGACTTTTCTAATTATGTGAAATGTAATGAAAGTATGTTTTTGGCCTATGCATTTAAACCATGTCAGCATTTCAGTTGTTTGGTCTAGTGTTTAAAAAAGAGAAAAAGCAATGCCTTCTATAACTCATGTAAATGCTCTCTGACCTTTTCCACTGTATGATAATGTATGGTAAGCTATAAATATGCAGTTGTAAGAGAATTATGCTTATATCACATAAAGGGTTTTGCAGAATTTGTACCTGTTTGTCTTTATTTCTAGAATGCCTAGCTATAATTTTCTTAATCTCTCACAGTCTTTATGTTTTTGTAGTTTAATTAAGAAGTAATCAGTTTGTTTGGTGCCCTGCAAATATCACCGGAATGCAGCAGTGTGAAGCCTTGTTCATAGTTGAAGTGGTATTTTCTGGCCTTAACCTTCACCCCCAGTGCATGACTGGGCAAAGCAGTGATGCTGTCCACTTCTGGAGTTATTAATGATGATAGGTGTGAAAAACGCAGGGATTTTTTACTTAGGGAGAGTGTGTGTGACTTGGTTTCCTTTCTTTCTTGAAGGATTAATGTGATTTCTGGGAAAGTGAAATAAGATGTGTAGAAGTGGGCTAGAAGGAACTGTGAGCATGTGATCTAATTAGCACGAAGACTTTTACTTTCAAGGACAACTGGTGGCTGCTCTGAGTGTATTGACTTTCTGAACAGGTGGATTAACAGCATTTTGGAGAGCCTGAGGTACCAGGAGGTTTCACTGTTTCACTGTGCTGCAGGCATCTTAGACTTCAGGACATTTTTGGAGTCAACAGAGAAGTTGTATGGGAACAGTATTTTTCCTGTTTTTATCAGCTTCTCCTGTTGCCAAAGTATTTTCAAGTATTTTTAATGACAGAGTCAAAATTGGTGACTTTGTTAGGTATTCCCAGCCCCTCCAGTGAGGAACTAGGATAAATTTGTGTAAGGAATAGCACTGTCTTCAGGGCCTTCTGTGTTTGCAAGTAGCTTGGAAATGATATTGCCTGATGTTTTTTACATATTGGGAAGATAGAAACTTCCTCCTAGTGAGTGCTGTCCATCCACCATCCAGCCCTCAGGCTGTATTATCTGTGTGACAAGGAGGTGTCTTTTTCTGGATCTGAGGTGTGTATCATAGCTGGTAAAAATAGAAGTAGGCCTGCTGACGTCATGCAGGGTAAGGCTTGCTTTCGCAGTTCTGTTGCTGTGGTAAGAGGAAGTTGTGTTTTACCTCTTGGTCTTTTCAGGGTCAGTCATTTAATATGCTTTTCTATGAGAGCGTTTCTTCAACACAAATAAGATTTCACGTTCATTGCAATGTACTGTTCTGTGGTACATCTGCAACTTCGTTAGGATGCCAAATGCAGTCACTCTTGAGGATTTCTTCAGTATTAATGTTTCTGTGTTATAAAGTTGGCAGTGATGAAGCAGAGAATATCAAGTCCTGCCATGGTATGACTAATAAAATTAACCTAAGAGGAGTGTTTTACTGGAATTTGAATTGTGCCAGGAATGTCTTCTAACTTAAATCACAGGTAGCTAAATAGGAACTAAATCAAATAATGAAACAGTTGCAAGGCACACTTGCTAAAGAACTAGGCCTTAAGCGTGTTACAACTGCTGTGGGCCTTGCACAGGGGTACCTTCTTGGCACCTTCAGGCTCTGACTGAGGAGAGGCTGGGCCCTGAAGGCAGGTCCTCCATGTGGTTTGCAGGGAGGTTCTTAGGCTGAAAGCCCCTGAGCCATACTGCAGGATGGATGGAGCAGTGTCATAGTTAGCTCAAGTGCTAACGATGGAGGAGTCTGAAAAATGGGGATTTCCTTTGTCCTGCTTTTCGGTTTTCTTTTAAACACATGATTTGTCCATGTTCCTTCCTCCTACATTCACAAAACGTGGTCTTCAAAGAGTTGCAAACATTGAAGATGACAAGATTAAACCAATTCCTTCCTCTTAGGAAGGAACTAATTTCAATTTCAGTTTACTTTGGGTGGTAGAACAAAGAAATCAAGTGAAAGAAAAAAGGGCAGTAATCACACATTTTTTAATCCACGAATATGATAATACATCATATACTTAAGATGACCATTGCCAGTATTTAGCAATGTTGTTACACAGCAAGCTACTAGTACAAAAGTAAACAATGAATATACTGGATATGCAAGTATGATAAATACTAAAAAACATCTTCTTTCCTTAAGGCTACTCTGATTTATAAATAAGATGACAGGTGTTCAGCTGGCTCGTCTAAAATATCAGAATCTGGAACATCGGCACTTGCAACACACAAAAATAAAGTCACGTATACAGGATATCCCTTTTGTTTTGGACATCTTCAGTGTTGAATAATCTTTTGCTCTGGCTTAAAAAAAAGAAATCCAAACAACCAACCAAACTTACATATTTGCTACAGGAGAAACAAACACACAGATGTGACCTGTGCACTGGAACAGGAGTGCTGGATATAATAACTGTGGTTCAGAAGCATTGGTTGACAGGTACGTGCTCTGAGAAAGGAAGCAGCTAATGGTGTGTGTAAATATGACTCTGCAAATGTTGAAACTTGCAACCTTGTAAGGCAAATCTTAACAGACTTCCAGTCCCAAAAGTTCGTATCTCATTTCCATGCTGAGTTGTAAAGGAATAGTCTGTATTCACTGCTACTGAATATACTCTTCATGGTTGAAGGAAACATGACGGAGAATTACATCGATACCAAACTGCTCTAGTAATGTTCTGTGCTGCCATTTTCACTTGCTTCGAAATGCATTCTTTTGGGAATGGATGCTTCTAGCACAGCTGCAGAGAATACACGTAGTTGAGGTATGTGTATTCTCAGCTGTATGTAGGGAAGTACAGCAATTATTCTCAGAGTGAGAAAAGGCAGAAGAACAGAATTTACCTCTGTATTTAAGATTTTAAATGGGAAAACAATTTTTTTTGTTGTCGTGAAGTAATAGGTGACAGTGCTTGGAAGTTCTCCTTAGGGAGGGATGGCTTTCAAATATATGGGAGTGTCTGCCGTGTCATGAGAATGGAGAAACCCCATGACACTGAATGTCTTGGCAGACTGAGGTGAGTCTGAGAGGTAAGAGGCAGGGGGCTAGGAGAGATTTCTGCACATGCTTCCTTTACGTAGGGTCAGCCAGCATCAACCCAGCTGTAAGATTCTGCAAGCTGGCTTATCTGCTCTGGTTCTCTTCCATAATGATAGCAAAACTTGACAGAAACCAGTATTCCTTTGCAAAGCATCTTTTGTTTCAGGACAGCGGAGTGTTTTGCTTAAAAGCAAAAAAAGCAGAACACTGAACCAACGGGTTGTTTACGAAGCTCACCAGTTGGTAGCGTTCTCTTCAAAGGGCTGTGGACATACTGCACTCAGATGGCACTGTGAGCAAAGCAGGTGGGGTTCTGTTATTGTCATTGTTGGCACAAATTGATACTATGGACACATTAAAATGAGAGCTTTACTGAGGCTGAATGTTATCTATTAAGGATATGAGATGTTAATGTTGCTTTGTACAGCAAGTGGTTACTTAGTTGTGTTCCTCTTCAAAAGTGCAAAATGTTCGCAAGGAATATTTTGCTCTGACAGAACAGTGTGAATGCAAAGAGCAGCAGCATCTCCAGCCTGAATTCATCCAACGTTATCAAATAGGCAGCACCTGAGACTGGGAGAATTCAGGAACTACTTTATATGTTTTTTCTTGATTGCCTTTGAGCTTCAATCACTGAGCTGTTCTTCAAAATTCATATGAAGCTTTTTTTTGAGTATAAGCCAAAAATTTCTAATGGAAATATTGTTTCATAGAGCAGCTCTTAAAATTTTATTGTGATTTACTCGTTTGTATTATTTATTATCCCTAAATAGACTTAAATACCATGCGAATTCAGAGATGCAGTCTCACACTGATTCCTGATCATCTTAAAAGGAAAGAGCTTAACGCATCACAGCCTTACCTTCTAAGCCTTTTCACTTGCTGTTGGAATAGTAAAAACGCACACATCAGGGGCAGTCTGGGTAAATTCCATGCACTGCTCTTTTGCCATCACCTATTTTAACACAGCCATGCTTTTGAGCTTACTTTCTTTTCACGTGTTCAGCCTTGACCACAAAGCTAGTAAGATCGTGATGTACAGCAATCTATTTCTGAACAATATATATCAGCAGTTTTTTTTCATGCCACACCTTGGAAAAGACTTGGTTATCTGTGAACAAAACATTAAAACTGATAGCTTTCTGGTTTAGGTTTTTCCCTTCATCGTGTGCCAAGTGAGCACCTTCTGGCTCCTGCTGGAGACTGCAGTAAGAAGAGCAGGAAGGATGCTCTCATGCTCACCGTGGCTCATGAAGGGTGGCCAGTTCTAGGCAGAAGTTTTTTGGCTGGTTTCTTGCTTCTGAGCACAGTTTCAAAGGATCTTCTCATCAAGTAGTTTGTTGATGCCATCGCAGATCTTTTTGAGGTATGGCCGACAATCCCCATCCAGGCTGTACAGGGCAGTTAGAAATTCCACATCTGCAAAGTGATTGAAGACGTGGTTGATGCGCCCGTGGGATTTCGGTGTCAGGTGCCGATCTACCAGTTCATGCACAAGGTCTTTACACTCATTCAGGAGTTCTGCAAGAACATTTCTGTCAAAAGTGTATTCTACCTCATAGAAACTGACAATTGTCATGGCAGTTTGATTCAGCTTCTTCCTGAACTTGTCTACAATTTCCATCTCTTCGTGGTTGAACTGATTATTTCGATAGAGGATCCCAATTTTTATTGCCACTTTAATCAGGTCTTTCATAATTTTATGGGCTTCCTTTTTGTTTCTGGTGTGTTCCTTTGTTACCTTGTACAGCTCATCAAAGATTTCACTGCTTGTGTCATCGATGAGCATGTTAGCCATGGTTTTGGTTGCCATTTTACTCAGGATCTTTTTCTGGGCTTGCAGTGCAAGATTCTTGGAACTGAAACAATCGGGACCTGTTTCAGGATAGCAGAGAAGAGGGAAAATGTTAATTTTACTTGGTGAATCGTTTTTACCATCAGGTAAGAATAGCAGTGCCCATGTGTTTAAGTGTTAACCGTGTTTCAGGTCTTGCTGTCACTGAGAATTTTTCTTACAAATGGAGGACTGGATGTCCTGGTGGGGGATCCCCAGGCCAGGTCATTGCTAGCCACTGGTTCACTAGCAGCAGAGCTTTTTCTGGTCAGTAGTTCTGTGTTAAAGCTTTCTTGGTAGAGAGATCTCTTGATGGTTCTGCCTATATATGTAAATAAGAAAAACAAAGTATTTGCAAATATTTACTCAAACTTGAAGGAATTATTCCTCCTGCCATTGGGAGGCACTGTTGCTCCGCGGTCAGTCTGAGCACCCTCAGTGCGGGCTACTACAGCAGTCATGGATCGTCTCCAGTAACTATGCCTTTCTCATTTGCTATCGACTTGCAAAACTCTAGGATACGATTTCTTTTGCCTCAATACATGTGATTCTGCTAGCTGAAAATACCTCAGCCACTTTCTGTACATTCATCAATAAATACAAATATCTTGCATTTTTCTTTTACCTGTCTGCAGGTTTCACTCAGGACAGTGTCAGAGCATGCAGTTCATGTGCAGCACGTGGCTCCTGTTGTTGGACTTGATCCAATAAAGGGGAGGGGAGGACCAGGAGCACGACCCAGAGGGCTGGAGCACCTCTCCTACAATGACAGGCTGAGGGAGCTGGGCTCAGTCCAGAGAAGAGAAGGTTCTGAGGAGACCTGAGAGTGGCCCTCCAGTGTTTAAAGGGAGCTCATGAACAGGAGGGAAACCAACCTTTAACATGGGTAGGTAGTGGCTTTAAACTGCAGGAGAGGAGATCTAGAATAGCTGTTGGAGAAGTTTTTCATGGTTAGGCTGTGGATGCCCCATCCCTACAGCTGTTCAAGGCTGGGCTGGGTGGGGTTGTGGGCAACCTGATCTAGTGCTGATCTGGTGTTAGCAACCCTCCCCATACAGGGGTTCTTTACTAGATGATATTTGACTTCCCTTCTAATCCAAGCCATCCTATGATAACTACTGGTAGTGATTAATTTGACCTTCCTCTGCTTTCCACCTTGAAGTTGTTTGTTTTTCATGGACTTTGTATGGACAAAACAAAGGAAATTGAAAGATTTCATCTGAAATGGGCTCCAGTTTAGAACTATGTAGCAGGATCCCCATTGGCTCCAAGGGTACTTCGTCACTGATGAGCATGTGTGTAGCTTGGGGACCTTGGTGTGAGGTGCGGAACAGAGCACTTGGGCCCTTTGCCAGCTGCTGGGGAACCTAAATGCTAAGAGATTTTAAAAAAGTACCAGTGCTGATTTGATTTTGGAGCCTGAGTGGGTTTTTGGCTGAGCTCATTAGGCCTTTTCCAGCCATTAGCATATAAATAGTGCCTGCAACAGCCTGCTGTAATTCAGTTGTGCAGCAGGGATCTGTCAGTGGCTGGGGGTGCAGATTTCTACATCTCTGTACCGTGTTCCACATGGCCCTCACTCACAGCTGTTGTGCTTCACCACAGCCTCTTGGTGCTTTCTTCTTTATTCCACGAGGCAGCAGTAGATACGGGAATTTGAGTCACAGAATTATCCGAGTTGGAAGGGACCCGCAGAGACCATCTAGCTCAACTCCCCTGCAATGAACAGGGACACCTACAGCTGATAAAGTCCTTCCAGCCTGATGTGGGCTGTCTCCAGGGCCGGGGCACCCACCACCTCTCTGGGCAACCTGTGCCACCTCCTCACCACTCTTATTGTAGAAGACTTCTTCCTTATATCCAATGTAAATCTCCACTCTCTTAGTTTGAAACCATTCCCCCTTGTCTTAGCCCCTTATCCTTCTGTTTAAATTGTTTTCCAAGTTCACTAGAATGTCACACTGAAGTTGTCATCATTCCTTGTGTGCTATAGCTGTACTAGTGAGCTGTACAAAAGAATGCCCTTTAATTTCAGCTGAGCCACCACCTGGAAAACATGATTCAATGCACTTGAAAGAATTGCCTGTCATTGGGAGAGCAAATTGTGGGCCTGGTCTGCTGACTGGAAGAAATAGAAAAACGGTGATTTAGTCTAGAAATGATAAAACCAGGATGAGAGCATTCTTTCACTTTGCAGTGTGTTGGAATATAAATAGTACCTGTGATGAATAATTATGTGCATTTGACAAAGGAAAATGGAAGACGAATATTAGTGTCTGTTTCTGTAATAAGCGTTTGCTATTAATTAAGTGGATGCGGGTGCTCAGTATCTGTTTTCATCAGAACTTGCAAATAATTGGAGGGGAGTTCTGGGATATTAATTTACTTGCATTATGACAATCCCACTGCTGTGTTGTCTCTACCGGCTGCCAGTCCAGTCATCTGTCCCTGTGCTGACAAGGACATAAAACTGTTTGAGAGTGGCCAAAGAGCTAGGAGAACTTTTAAGGTCTGAGGGCGTGCTGTGTGAGCAGTGGCCGAGTTCCTGGGTTTGCTCAGCCCGTAGCAGGGAAGGTCTGCACCAGAGGCTGGTGGGCACAGAACAGCTCCCCAGGGCAGTGAGCACGGCCCTGAGCTGCTGGAGCTCGAGGAGCATTTGGACACTGCTCTTTGGATGAGACGAGGTGAGCCGTGTGAAATTCTGGCTCTTCTGAGCACTGCAGGTTTACAGTGGAAGTCTTCCTGCAATACATTTCTCTTTAAACATCTTCGCCTCCTACAGCCAGTGCTTCTATTTTCTGCTTTCTTTCACACAGCAAAACAAATCAGAAACAGCGTTATAGAAGCTATTAGCATTCAACAACGTTACGCCAAACCTAAAAAAGAAAACCCAACCTCCCAGCACAGTGCTTTGCAAGGTAATGGTTAGTCCCTGTTATAGAAATTCAGATGTCTTAGTTTTCATTGAAATATGGACCAGTTCTGCCTCAAGTCTTTTTTCCTCTCCTTAAGTCACCCAATGAGTTGTGCATGATGAAAGCTCTTCCAAAAGGCCATGCAAAGGGATTTGACCCCTCAGCACCATTCTGCATAGCTCCACAGACCTTGTATTTTCATGGTGGGGTCACCACAGCCTGACCAGTGCTGGTCTGGGGCCTGCCTGCATCCAGCTCTGCAGAGCAGTGCTGAGCACAACTCGCCACCTCACCATCTGCCCCTCACAGCGATGCCTCGTATGCACGAACCCTAATAACAGGGATGCTGGATAACAGGACTGCCTCAGGACAGAAGTGTGAAAAGAGTTCGGCAGCTCTAGGGAGAGGAAATAAGATTTTTGTAAGAATTTTAGGAGTTTTTTGAGACTAAAAGGCAAGAGCATCTGTAATATTCTCAAAATAATATGATTCCAGATGGCTGTACCAAGTACAAAATGGCTAGAATCAAATGCTCAGTGACTGCATTTTTTGGTAAATATCCATTCAATCATTACATAAGCGACAGCAGACGTAGTACATGCCCCCACTATGCATGGGAGAGAACATAACTGACTTTCTGGAAATAAGGATGTGGAAGCAACCACCCTGAGCAGATGAATCTAATTAGCCACTTAGCCAAAGCCTTAATAAAGTTTTGCAGCTAAGATATTTTCACCGCTGGCAAAAAGCTCAAGTGGCATTTCCTTGAACTCTGAAGGGAGTGTTCATTCCCAGGTAAAAATGTATGGAGTAGAGCTGGTCTGCAGAAGTGGAGTTTGCCAAGTGCTATTTAAAAAATGATGTTGGCTTGCTTGAAGAGAAGGGATATGAAGCAATCAATCTGGTTTTGCCCCACCTGTGAAGATCAGATTGCGTATCTGATGCTGGGAGCTGTTACTATAGTGCCTGTTACAGCTTTTGTGCTAATCCATCAATTAGCTGAATGCCTCCTCTGCCTCACCTGAAGCAATGCCACCTGCAGCTGTGTGTTACCTCTCTTTGAAACTGAGAGTACCTGAATCTGAGCTAAAATGCTGGCTGCCCTGTGCTGCGCTGCTCTGTGCTGCTGGATCCCTGCTGAGCCCACGCCAGCCCCATAGAGGTGAGCAGGGCTCTGAAGGTACTGAGGTCTGCAGGGCTGGGAGGTGATGCGAGTCCAGACGGGTCCTTGCAGCTGTGCTGCATGTTACTGAAGGGCTGCATCTTGAACTGAAAAAGAGGGAAGTGTGCAGGAGAATGAAGATGATGAGGAAGCTAAATTATTTTTAATACTCCTGAATCCTCATTTTTTTAAAATGCAGTGCAGCCTCTGCAGCAAGAGGCAGCCCTTCAAGGAGTCAGCAAAGCTGTCGGAAATGTGGGCACCCATCCAGCTGCTGGCAGTGCTCCGGTCTGGAGGAGGGGGCCAGAGCCAAGGAACAGGCATGTCCTCTGATCTGCCACTGTCTGAGAGCTGCACCACGGAAAGTGCTCTGGGGTTGGGCACTGCTGTAATGCTTCATGTGCAATCTATATATCTTCATGTTGTATTGTGCACCTGCCCCAGAAGCTGTAGAGTTTGGGTATGAACAAACGGGCAATAGCACCAAAAAGTTGTGCCGTTGCATGGAGTGTATCAGGAGCTGTGGCACGATGGGATGTGGCTCAGCAATTCATTAGGTCACGATGACGGCTGGACTTTTGCAGCCTGGATGGCTCCATAATGCTCCTACCAGGAGTTAAATAAGCAGCAGGTATCTCTATGGCTGCTCAAACCTGCTGCTGTTATCGACAGCTCGGGCTGACAGCTTGTTTTGGTACAACATGGTTCACCGCAATGTCTCTTTATCTTGAGATAAATAGCTTATAAAGCGTAAGTAACCTCTGATGAAAATAAGAGTAGGATTCATTAAGCTTCTATGGACAAGAAAAAGCTAGTGTGGATTTAGAAAGGAGAACGTGTAACAACAGCAAAAAAACTCTGTTGCTTAATTTGCAGCCATCATAAAAAAAGTTTAGTGATATAAAATGGTAGCTAGAGGCAAATGCATGTATTGCACTTCTCCTTTGTGTATCATTCACGCTATGGAACAGATGAGCAGAAGTGAAGGCAGAACTCAGGATTTCAAAATAGCTCTCAGACCAGGCAGAAAAAAATGCGGGAAAAGAAGTTCTCTCACAGCACTTTGGTATGGAGCGACCTGCGAACTGCTGTGAGCGCACACAGACACATACAGACAGACACACAGACACACACACACACACTGCTCCTGGACAGCCGCAGGACCGCTGCAGGAGAAACATCCCGTGCTTCCACTGACTTTAAGCCAAGAAATCCAATAGACCAGATGGAATATATCAGCATTCAGGGAGGGCCAATTTAAACACGTGTAAGCACAGGGGGCCCAGCACTCAAACTTTTAACACTTCTAAATGGTTACTGTATACATAAGAAGGCTGCTCATTTCTGCAGGGGGAACTGGAGGTGGGGGACTGGTAATTGCACAACTGGTGTCCAAACCTCAGAAGTCAGGCTGAAAATGGCAGCAACAGCTCCAGCCAGAGGGAACGTGACTGAATGGAGGGGAAAAAAAACCAAAACAACTCTACTTTTTCATCTTGATACCTCATGCAAGCAGCAATCACTGCAAAGAAACATCTGGGAGCCTAGGGATTGGAGATGCCCAAAGATGATCTTATTTCAGCAGCTGGCTTCTATTTTGAAAATACTTCTTTAACCCAAAGTTGCAACAGTGCCTTCAGCACCTGGCATAGGAGCTGAGGAGCTCCTTCAGTGCATTAGAGCTGCTGCAGTGCCCCAGCCCTGCTCCCAGCTGCAGCTCGGGAGGAGCAGCTCAGCTGCTGCTTCCTTCAGCTGTTTATAAGGATAAGCAGCGACAGGACAAGGGGGAATGGTTTTAAGCTCAGGGAGAGAAGGTTTAGATTGGGTGTCAGGGGAAGTTCTTCACAGAGAGTGGTGGGGTGCTGGAACACGCTGTCCAGAGAGGTGGGTGCTCTGTCCCTGGAGGTATTTAAGACCAGGCAGGATGGGGCCCTGGGACACCTGGTGTAGAACTGGATCTGGAGGTTGGTGGCCCTGCATGTGATAAGGGGGTTGAAACTCGATGATCCTGGGGATCCCTTCCAACCCAAGCCATTCTATGATCAGCTCTGACAGCACTGCTGAGCACTCCTCCTGCTGCCCTCATAGGGTGTGAACTGAAACACGTCCTGTGTCTAAAAACAGCTGGCAAAGGAAGTCCTTTCTGTG